GAGAGAGAGAGAGAGAGAGAGAGAGAGAGAGGAGTACTGCAATCCAACTTTGTGCGTCAGCCTCGGATGGAGACAATTCCTTGGGGGAAAACACGAACTTAGTGAGCACATTTCTTTTTTTCTCTCCAGACTTCAGTCTTTTTAAACATTTCCTCCACTTTTCCCACACTGAGCTCTCCTTTATACAGCATGAAGTGCAGCCATGGCTCGGAGTAGCAAGTCAGCCGCGCGGACCCTGGAGGATTTGACGCTCGATTCGGGTTATGGTGGAGCCGCGGACTCCTTCAGATCTTCCAGCGCGTCGCTGTGCTGCTCAGAGGCACATGGGGGGACCTACTGGCATCTAACCGACTCCATGCACAGCCGCCACAACAGTCTGGACACGGTTAACACGGTGTTGGTCGAAGACGCCGAGATCCTGGAGTGCAGCGGGCAGTGCGCGAAACTACCCGAGCTTGAGGACGTGCCGTGGAGCCTCGGGGAAGTGGCGAGCGCGCTGAGCAGGGACGAGGAGATGAGCCTGCCGACCCCGCCGCAGGACGTCCTGCTCCGGCTCTCGGTGCTGGTCAGCCGCGTCCTGGTCCGGGTCGCCAAGGAGGCGCAGCGCCTGAGTTTGCGCTACGCCAAATGCACCAGGAACGAGATCCAAAGTGCCACGAAGATCGTCCTGTCGTGGACGGTGTCGCTGCGCTGCGTCGGCGCGGCGGTCAGTGCCTTGTCCCTGTACAACATGAGCACCGAGGAGGACAAGTTCAGCCGCGGCAAGTCGGCGCGCTGCGGGCTCGTCTTCAACGTGGGGAAGTTCTTCAGGTGGATGGTGGACAGCAGGGTGGCCGTCCGGATCCACGAGCACGCGGCCATCTACCTGGCCGCGTGCATGGAGAGCCTCTTCCGCGAGGTGTACGCGCGGGTGCTGCGTAGCGCGCTGCTGGAGCCCGACAACGGTATCCCCAAGTTCACGGTGGAGACCTTGGAGCAGGCGGTCAGCGGGGACGCAGAGATATGGGGGTCTCTGCAGCCCTGGCAGCACCTGATCTGTGGCAAGAATGCAAGCGGTGAGTGTGGAGACAACAACCTGACGTGCAGCAACAGGGTGTTTCTGCACTTTGCACACATTTCCCACACTCCTGCACTGAGTCACAATTTAATCCCAGACATGCTCACTGGTGTGATGCAACACTGTGGTTAGTTTTTAAAATTGATTTATTCTAGAATTCGACTTGTTATGGCCAATTCTGATGTCATTTTTGGTCGACATACATCCGACTTTAAAAAGCTGATAATCACAATGTCAAGGGAGCAAAATCCACACAATTTATTTTACTCATATTAATGGTTTATGTCCTCAAGTTAAACATTTATAAGCAAAAATTGTGAGCTTGTTAATGAAAACAGATGCGAGAAGTCTGAAGATTTGGATGTGTTTGTATATATTAACTCTCAGATTTGTGGAGCAAAAATATGATAAAAAAATAAAGCAGATAAAAATGCTCTGTTGACATTGAGCGTGGACCCACATTTCAGAATTGCTTATCATAACTGGAAAAGTCCTGGAGTACATCACGTCTTTTTTTTATACTTTGAAATGAGCACCTCCAGCAACTTGTAAACTTAAAAATAACACAAAGAAGAGCATTCCCACCTAAAATGCTAAACTACAGGTTGCTTTGTTGTTGCTGCTGCATCCTAATTTTCCTATTGATTAAATATATAAAAGACATTTTTTAAAATGAGCAATATCAGCTGATTAAAATCAATTAGGTTCATCCTCGTTTAACTTCCGCTTGTGCATAAGCAACAATGCCTCTCAACAAGGCTGACTGTCTCCTGCACCACCTCTTCTGTTCTCCAAGTTTGATATCTAATTTTTTACTGCATGCAGCTGTTTTTTTAAATGTGCAGTGACAAGGATGGGTGCAATATCCCCAGGTTTAGTGACTCGCTCTGAGAGCTTTCATTGAAAGGACCCCTCCCCGCTGGTTTCCTTCAGCAGTGATGCCCTGCAGAAGAGAAATCCTTTCTTTCCCTTCAAAGAAAGAGGAGGTTTCATCCCTGTGCACGTTTGCTGATTCTGCTGCAGAGGAATTTCCCCAGCCGGTTGTGTTCGGTTTAGTGCTGAGAGACACTTTTATTTTATCTTATTTTCGAATGAGTTATGAGCAAGTAATCAGGCATCACTCCTACTTAACCATCAATACATCACTCAGACTCGTGCCCCTGTTTTGATGGATACAGTTCAAGTGCTGTTGTGGCTCCTCTTGCAATAGCTTTACATAATAAAAAAGCCTTGAGGGACTTTTGTGCTGTCATGCATTATGCAGAGTGATGTAAATAAAACTGAGCTACAGAGTGAAGGAGAGCGAGCGAGATAATCAGAGGAAAGACCTGTTATTTGGACACTTGAACTATTTAACGTTCAGTTCTACATCTAATAGCTCAAATCAGGTTGGATCCAGATTGCACTCTGCTMATTAAAGCTGCACAATATATTGTTTGAGCATCGTCATCGCATATATGTGGGCCCAATGCAGGTTCTGCATATAGGAAGCAAATTTAAACCAACATTATCCAGGGACTATTTAGCACTCAATGGTCACATGTTGCAGCTTTTATTTTGACAGAAAGCTTCAAAAGCTTAGTGTCAAAAAAGCTAAAACTTTAATTTTGTGGGGACACTTCTGACACATTAATGGCAACATTTTTTTGGAGAAGTGTTTTTGGTGAGGAGGAAGATGACAAGGCTCTTGACAAAAACATGGAAGATGAGCAAAAAYGCAGAGGAAAAKAGGAAAAATACAGTTAGCATGAATGCTCATATTAAAGCAAAACAAAAACCATGATAAATGGTGGTAAAAACGTAATTCTCGTGATAGAAGGAAGCATGTACTCAGGTCCCCGCACAATAAAAGATAAGAATAAATCTCCAATACAGACAAAAAAAAAACATACATGTAACGTGCACAAAAGTTATCTGTTGAAAATTCCTGTATTTTTTTTAAAACACTTGGTTAGAAAAAAAATTGCGATGTCATTTTTTTTAATTCCATGCAGCCCTACTGCCCTTTTATTTATATTCTGACATGAAATGCTGAAAGAAATGCTAAAAGATGCAGTGCATTTTGAAAAAGTGAATGCAGCAGAAAGTCAGAGCGCCTTTTGTGCTGCCTTGGATTATCAGTCACTCTGCAGTCAGTGCACGCAGAGAGACTCCAGCTGTGGGAAATGTGCGGGGAGCGTTCACCGCTGCACTAAATCATTGAGCAGAATCAGACGCAGGTGAAACATCTGGAGCATGTGGAATGCTGATGGAGTGCTGAAGTTTGTGGGATATTTTGGTAACGTGAACACAGACACGGGCAGAAAAAACATCGACCTTTCGGTTGCAGGTGATAATCAGAGGAGGAAGAAAGTACAAATTTAAATTTTATGGTGATATATTTAGGCTACTGCACAGCTTGCTAACAAATGTCTAACCATGTATTTAAAGTGCCTGACATGCAAATCCTTCTACAAAAAGAAACTTGGCATTATACACACAGTTTTACCCATTTTGTCTAACAACTGGCATATTTTCTTTTCAACTTGACTCAGCCGAAGTGAAACAGGAAGTGACATAGAAGGGGAACTCTAACAGCGACTCAAAATAATCTGAAGAAACAACAGATCATTCTCTACAGTCTGGGCTGTTAACCATTTTAGCTAAGCTCTGTTCATATGCAGACATTCCCCTTTGACATCACTTCCTGTTACTTCACATGCAAATATCTCAACAACTGTTCATCTCAGAGGCAGGATATATTTTTTTTGCATTATTATTTTTCCAAAAATGCGTTCATATTTATCACAAAAATTCAATATCACTGCTAGTGCTGGGCGGTATAGCGTTTTGTACTGAATACCGGTTTTTATTTTTGTTATGATATGAATTTTTTGAATACTGGACATTCCGGTTTAAATAGAGGAACGTTTCGTCGCGGCCGCCAGTGAACTGTTGTTTCCCTGGGGACATTTTTCCTTGCTGCACCACTATGTGCGTTAGCATGCTAATGTTTGGAGCAGCTAGTTGCAGCAGCGGGTGGCGATTCCGGTGCTTATATTGACTGACGTTTAAAAAAACATCCCGTTTTCGCCATCGCTGAATGTAGTAAACACCTCTTCAGTGACGTGCACAGTTAGATTTAATGCGGTTAGTTAATATGGAGACGTTATGCTGATGGAGACTTAACGTGCTTCTATTGTGAAAATCCTGCAGGAAGTAGTTCGTAGTGGAGTTGGAATTGACTGGTGTGCAAGGTGAGTCGTGCTGATAAGCTTTAATAAATAACATAAAACAATAAACCCGATCATAATCTTTTCTTAACCCTCCTCCTTCACGACTGGACCAAAATGCGTGACTACTGTCTCCAACCACCAGTCAGAGAAGAACAGACACAGAGGAGGGAAACAGCGACACAGACAGAGGTACAGTAAAAGAAAAAACTTAATAAGCAGGATTTGTACATTTTATTATCAGCTGAGCTGTGATGAAAAGAAAAATACAGTCAAATACCGTGAAACCGGTGAAAATGTTGAAAATACCGCGATATAAAATTTTGATCATATCGCCCAGCTCTAATCACTGCACTTTAAAAACATTTCACCCGTGTAACTTTCACAGTTTATTTCTGTTTACCACATTTAGTCAGGCTATTTTTAAAGAGCACTTATTGCAGGTTAATTAGGGTGTGTTGGCAAGTGTCTGAGAATTGCTGGTTGTTAAACATGAGCAGCTCCATATTGTTTCTTTTATACTAAAACGCTAAGACCTCTTCACACTAAACATCTTCAGTGCTGTCATCCTCACTGACAGAGAATGCTAAAACATTTGTTGTCTTCCTGCTGAAATCAAAGCAGAGAAGCAGAGGGGTGGGTTGACCTTATCGGAGCTTGTCTTCTTCAGATTGAACCTGGCGCTCTTCATCCTGCCTGTCGCCCCTCTGCCAACTGGGAGAGAATGAGGTGATTCTTTCACATTATGCCGAAGCTGTGACCCAGCTTTGCGACGAGGCTTTATGAATATCTTTATTGCATCGCTTTCCCAAAAGATGATTTCCATTTCTGTGCTGTCACAAATCCAATAAGGCTGGTATTTCAGTGGGTGTTTTCCTTTTTAGAACAGTTTGTCTCTATCAGACACCTTAATGAGCCTACAAGTGGGGGAAAAAAGTATGCACTCTGCTCATGTTTTAATCATGTTTGATCCTTTTTTCTACAGATTGTTAGTCTTGGTTTTAATCAAGGGTATTATCAACTAAATGACAAATGAAAACAACTCTTTGTAGTTTTGTAACTTTATTGAATAAACAAATGAAAAAAAAAACCTTTATATAGGAAGCAAAAAAGTCCCACTGCCCCCCATTATAACAAGTAGAACTTTTTCCTCATAAACTACTGTTATTTTGGCCGCGTGGATCATGAGTAAACTCAAATATTTAAAAAAAAAAACTCAAAATACCTAAAGGAAGACTTTTATAAATCTGAATCAGTAAAAAAAAAGTCTCAGTTTTGTTCCCAGCTTAGCGTAGAACTGGAACTGAGTGGAGACAGCAGCTTTTGTTAAAGATGACAGATTGTTTTAGAGGTCTAATTAGCCGGTCATGTGTTGTTTCTTTTTTATGTTCACTTGCATTAAACAAGCCTTTCTTGTAGAAATAGTTTTTAAAAAATCTGTCAGTAAGCATGAAAATGTGTTTTTCTCTCCAAATGCAAAACTGTCGGTTGGGCTTTGGATTTACAGGAGCTTATAAAATATGCATGGATCCTTTGCAATTCATCTACGCTTATTCTTGGTTGTTTAAAGAATTGATATGTCAGATTTTACCACAAGGTCCATAATTACTGATAAGGTCTGTTCTCACATACTGCACTGGCACATTTGACATATGGTGAATCTCCCACTCACACACAGACACACACACACACACACACACACACACATGCACACATGCATTAAGATGTCAGGAGCTCCTCTCACCAGGTCTGACTCAGTGTTATTTGCAAAGTGGGTGTCGGGTTT